ATCGTCAGAATAGTCCATCTGCCATCAGTGGTTCAACCGTAATGTTATGAAACGACAAGAATACTTTTTGTACACGAAGAAAACAAAAATAATGACTTTATTCAACAATTCGTCTCCTCTGTGTCTGTCCACATCACCGTAGCGCCACTTTGGAGAATATGAGCTGAACGCAGGCAGCTTACGAGAGCGTAAGCTGTGCCACAAGGATGCACTGTTTTCTTTCAAATCACAGCGTAAATACACGTAGAAAACGTATCCTTGTGGCTCATATTCTCCAAAGTGGCGCTACGGTGATGTGGACAGACACAGAGGAGACGAATTGTTGAATAAAGTCATTATTTTTGTTTTCTTCGCGTACAAAAAGTATTCTTGTCGTTTCATAACATTACGGTTGAACCACTGATGGCAGATGGACTATTCTGACGATGCTTTTCATACTTTTCTGGACCTTGACAGTGTAATTTACTTGGCAGTCAATGGGACAGTCACAAGCCTCCTTTCATCCAAAATATCTTAAATTGAGTTCCGAAGACGAACAAAGCTTTTACGGGTTTGGAACCACATGGGGGTAAAGTGATTAATGACTACATTTTCATTTTGGGGTGGAGTAACCCTTTAAATGGCCTCAATTTATTATCGTAGTATCAGCATTAAACATTTTTTTTAAATAACAGACCAATAAAAATGTATAAGTAGAAGGAAGTAAGAGCTCACACAAAGCCCTACCTAATGTTCCGGTCCTGGCACGCGATGGCCGTGTGTGTGCGTGTGGCGTCCAGGTCCATGTCATACAGTGTGCTCTTCTCCACTATGTGATGTGATCGTGAGAAGTTCAAGCCTTCCGAGGTCTTTCAGAAGAGAGAGACAAACAGATTAATCAAACACAAAGTCAAAGCATCTATTTGTATGTGCACTGATTAACCGTCTGACATGTCCAATGCCATTTCATTTTATTTAAAGGTTTAATTACATTTCAGTAAATCCAAAAAGTATGTCTGCTTAGCTGAAATTGAAATGCATACAATTTAACAACAATATTATAAAGTTCATCAAAGGCTAATAATTGAAAGCTCTATTTTTTCCCCCAAATTCTTGTTTTCTCCCATTTTAATTTTTCTGGATTCCATTTTATTGGTTTAATAATTTTTTTTAGTACTGCACGTGTTAAAATAGTTAATTATGGGGAAACGGGGAACAAAGCTTAACTTTATATTAAAAAGTAAATATGTATAAAACACATTCTGTATGCAAGAAGAGCATAATGTTTATATAATTTAATATTACATATTTAAAATTTTTGATTTTTAATAAATAAATTATATTTATTTAAAACATTAAGCAATTTGATCCTTTTTCTTCTTTTGTATGTATCAGAGGATTAACATATACAAAATTTAATAATTGTTGTTTAATAATCTCCAGAATCATGCCAATATTTTGAATTATCTGCTCCAGGGCAGCCTATTTATCACGGGGCAATCTCTACGCTGTCTATGTAGCAGATATAAGAAGAAACCTCTATAATATAGCAGATGTAGCACAGAAAAAAAAATTATGAAATATAATTATAGCATCCTTACCTTTTCAGCAGATCGAAAATAGATGCTCTTGTCGGCACCACAGCTGACCATACACAACTCTGAACTCAGTCCTACAAAGATACATGCATAATACGCTTGAGAAATGTATGAAATGTCTTCATCTAAATATTTAAGAGTATATGATCATTAAGTGTTTATCTATTGTGAAGTCACCTGTAAACTTGATGGCAGTGATGGAGGCCGAATGATCGTAAACCGTCTGCACTAGATTGCATTTCTTCTCCATGTCAAAGATGTGAATAAGCCGATCACGACTCGCAGAAGCCAACAGATGCAAACCTGACAGGGAAAACACGCTCATCTACACTGACGATAATAAAAATGTGTCGTTTTTCACAGCCCCACTCGGCATGCTTAACACTAATATCCAGATTTCAACTCAAATTAAATTAAATTGTTTGAAAAAAAGACACGGCTCATTACCAGTCTCAGTAGGGGAGAAGGCTAGACACAAGACCTCCGAATCATGAGCCTCAATTTTCTGCAGCTCGTCCATGAACTGCAAGCCAAAGATTCTGCAGAAGTGACCATTGATTCAGCATATGTTCATTTGTGATTTAGTTCTCTGCACAGATCCCTCATTCCTCTCACCTCAGGTTTCCACTGCGGTCTCCAGCAGCCAAATGTTGGCCATCTGGGCTGATTCCCAGCACCCTGATCCCAGATTTCCCATCCTGGCTTGCTCCCTCAGCTCTCTCAGCCTCGGCTTTGAGGTATTGCGTGTCATCGTCCACATACACTATCCTTACGATATCCTGAAAGACATTCACACGCATCGAAATCAGTGAAGACAAGAAGAATCAATTACTCACCCTCACATCGTTCCAAACCCATAAGCCTTTAGTTAAACTTGAAAACTCAAATTAAGGTATTTTAATGAAACCTGAGAGATATTTGTCCCTCCATTGAAAGTTTATTTCACCAAAATTTCAAAAAGACATAGCCAATAGGGATAATCTGCAGAAGTGACCATTGATTCAGCATATGTTCATTTGTGATTTAGTTCTCTGCACAGATCCCTCATTCCTCTCACCTCAGGTTTCCACTGCGGTCTCCAGCAGCCAAATGTTGGCCATCTGGGCTGATTCCCAGCACCCTGATCCCAGATTTCCCATCCTGGCTTGCTCCCTCAGCTCTCTCAGCCTCGGCTTTGAGGTATTGCGTGTCATCGTCCACATACACTATCCTTACGATATCCTGAAAGACATTCACACGCATCGAAATCAGTGAAGACAAGAAGAATCAATTACTCACCCTCACATCGTTCCAAACCCATAAGCCTTTAGTTAAACTTGAAAACTCAAATTAAGGTATTTTAATGAAACCTGAGAGATATTTGTCCCTCCATTGAAAGTTTTTTTCACCAAAATTTCAAAAAGACACAGCCAATAGGGATGCACCGAAATGAAAATTCTTGGCCGAAGCCGAACAAAATTAAACACTGGGCCGAAGGCCGAATACCGAACACGGTGTTTACATTTTTTTCCCCTCACTATAGGCCTATTTTGCCTTTTTTTTTCACCATTGCATTAATTAAATAGCTTTTAATTAAAAATGCTTTTTACCATTTTGTCCTGCTTTTCAAATAAAAAAATCAATTACAAAACAATTTAAAAATATTTACTTAATTTTTTTTAACATTCTAGCAGACATTATACCAACAAAGCACAATTTAAAGGGATAATTCACCCAAAAACGTGATGTTTATCTGCTTACCCCCAGGGCATCCAAGATGCAGGTGACTTTGTTTCTCCAGTAGAACACAAACGAAGATTTTTAACACAAACCGTTGCAGTCTATCAGTCTTATAATGGAACTGAATGGGAATCACGGCTTTGAGAGTCAAAAAAACATACACAAACAACACCAAATTAAACCCCTCGTGACGATGCATTGATATGTAAAGATGCTGACTTATAAGTGCATTACCGCCACTTATCTCTCAAATGGACCATTGACACTATCTACAATCTCAATTAGGAGTGTCAATGGTCCATTTGAGATATAGGTGGCGGTAATGCGCTTATAAGTCTGTGATCTGCCGTAAAGCAAGAAGAAGAAGAAGACGCGAACGCACTAAGGACAGTTCGGACATTGCGGTGAATCAGAGGTAAAAACTACATAAATACGGTTCAGTTTCTTGCACAGACCGATCGTTTTGTGTCTTTACACATCAATGTATCGTCACAAACTCAAAACACAAACGCAGGGTTTAATTTGGTTTTGTTTGACTCTCAAAGCCGTGATTCCCATTCACCTCCATTATATGACTGACAGACTGCAACGGTTTGTGTTAAAAATCTTCGTTTGTGTTCTACTGAAGAAACAAAGTCACCTGCATCTTGGATGCCCTGGGGGTAAGCAGATAAACATCTCATTTTCATTTTTGGGTGAACTATCCCTTTAAATTAAAATGATTAAGTTAGTAAAATAATAATGTTTGGGCATTTTTGATACTTGAACCAGGCATGTAATTTTTACTGTACAAATAAAGGCAGCCTTGCTGAGCAGAAGAGAATTCTTTTAAAACATTGGAATATATTGCAGATCCCAATTTGAACACTGTGTGAATGTTATAATAAATGTATTAATAGAGCTGTTGTAGGGTAATTATTATCATTATTATTGTCTTTTTTATTTTACAGAACGACAGTAAAATTACAATACTATCATTTATGAATGTCGATGGAGTTGTTGCTTTTTCTCGGCTTTTATTTTGGCAGAAACCCGTAGGAAGATCTCAGTGCTTCTTTTTGTTGACAACAGCATGCAGATTTATAAATGATTCTCATTAGGAGTTTGGGAAGATGTTTGTCGCACGTATATCACATTGTCACATGCCTTAAAAAAAATTCACAAAAATGTTACTGAGCAACTGACGAGTAACAGTTTCAAGCAGCTTTTCCTCGCGCTTTTGACTTTGAACCCTGGTGCCGCGAGCTCGTGCAGCGCTGTCAGAATACATGCAAGTCGTGTGTGCATTAGAAAATATAACATTCTGCAGTTTCACTAATCATTTGAGGTCATTTCGCAATTTCAATCATCATACAGTAGCCTAACCACCAGCATAAGCACTTGCTGTCAGTGCTTCATGCTTGTAATGATTTCTGCATCTTTCTCTCATAGTTTTAAATACTTTCACACTTCCAACTTGTTTGCTACATTAGTGCACGCTTCTATTTGATTGTGTTAGTCATTGTTCGGTACATATTATTCGGCCTTTTCGCTTATTTCGGTTGCCGAATATTCGGTGCATCCCTAATAGCAAAAGTAATACAAATGAATTAAGCAGCTTAAGTCTTCTGAATAACTTCATATGATGAACAGATTTATTAAGAATGTTACTCCCATATAAACATTGATCAATGTATATACATTGAGCTCGATTCATATACAATTTTTTGTGAACTTTTTGAAGCGTCAAAGTTTTGGTGGAATAGACGGTCAATGGAAATAAGAAAATGTCTCTGTTGAAGATGAGCAAAAGGCTGTTGAAAGTTTCTTGAAAGTCTTTTGGAAATTTCATTTTTAGGCGAGCTATCATTTTATTCATTTTTCTTTGTTTTTGGCTTCAATGACTTTGCAACAGTTTAGGTTTGTGTTTTTGGATGTTAATTTAAAAAAAAAACTCTAAAATAGGTTTCATATTTACTAGATTACTGTCATGGTTCTACAGTGTGACAAAGTTACAAATGAAATATTAAAAGTACAAATATCTAATTCAGGCTCCTAATTAATATGAGGATAAAAAAATATTCATACACATACAATACATACACATCCAATGCATACAATACCTTTTTGGGGTGGGTGATATGGCAAAAATATAATACCATGATTTTTTTCAGGAAAATTACATTTCACAATTTTGTACCAATTCTTTGTTATGTTGGTTTTACTATTTTGCAAGTTGTCTGAGCAGTACAGCCAAACTAACTGACCTATTTTAAAAAGAAAGCCTTACACAGTAATAAAATATAAAATAAAAAAAGAATGGCAAATATTTAGGCCAAAATGGGTAAAGATAAAATTAGGGATGCACGATATATCGGCCACCATATCGGTATCGGCCCATATCGGCTCATTTTTTTCTGTTATCGGTATCGGCCTGATAAGAAAATTTGGCCAATATCTTAAAGCCGATAAATAATGCATTATTTCCTTCAGAGACACTTCAGATGCGCGCTGTTCGTTTGCAGCCTTTTGTGCAATTGTACATTGTAATATTGTGTTTATTTGATGTATATCTGATTTATCTCATATAGAATGCGTTTGGTTAAGTTAAAAGAGCGCTTCAGTTTACCGGTGATCATCTTTAGCTCAGCACACGCAGCTCAAACAGCAGTGCACAACATTAATAACTATGATTGGGAATGTCGTGTATATAACATTCTAATGAGAACATTATTATAATAAAACATTGTGAATTCTTTGGGTTTAGTTGCCATGTTTCAGCGCGTTGTTATGGGAAGAGCGCATCCACAACAGGATCACACATTCTGACTATAGCATGCAATAACTGCATCATTTTGTACATATATAAGTTGTAATATTATGTTTATGTTGTATTAATATTAATCTCAGGATGCATTTCCTTGAGTTAAATAAGCTGCCAGCAAAACGCTTCAGTTTACCATGTTCATTCAGCTCTTCAGCTTCAGCACGCGCAGCTCAACGGCTGCTATTTAAAACAGTGGTATTAATTTGTTACTTTTTCAAAATCATTGATACATTATTAATAACAACAACCACTTGTATTGTTCTCTTATTATTTTCATCAACAATATGGTTTAGTAATTAAAATCATTTAATTATTGTCCGTGCAGAGGCTATTCCGTTTTATTGATCTATGGCGCATTCATTTTGATTCTTTACACGTGTAATGATGTCCAGTGACTTGTTTGCATTATTTCTGCATTATTTTATTTATTTGTAAGACTTTTTTATGACTAAATTTGGTAATGGGAGAGTAAAAATATTTTTAAAATGTACACCGTTCAAACTAGGCTGCTTATGTTGAAGTGTTTGGGATGTGGCTTTTAATGATGAGACCTTTTTTGTAATCAGGCTCTCAAAAAGTATATAACAATTTGGATATAGATTTATCGGCCAACATATCGGTTATCGGCTTTCAAAAATAAAGAATAATCGGTTATCGGTATCGGCCAAAATTTTCATATCGGTGCATCCCTAGATAAAATCAATGTCATCATTTTATATGTTATTAAAAAATAAGAACAAAGATGCACATGACAAATACACATAATATATATAAAACAAACAAAAAACAAAGTGCTTTATTTTTCAGGTACAGTAGGTATTTAGCAGTAGCAATCAAGAAATTGATTGAACAAATATAAAAATAAAACACTAATACAGTTGCATTACATACAGTAAAGTGTATAAAGCTCTGTGTTTTGTTGTTTTATTAATATTAAAGGGATAGTTCACACAAAAAAGAAAATTGTCATAATTTGCTCACTCTCAAGTTGTTCTAAACCTAAATTAGTTTCTTTCTACTGTTGAACATAAAAGTTATATTGAAGAATGTGGGTAACCAACCAGTTTGCTGGTCTCCATTGACTTCCATAGTATTTTTTTTTCTCCAACAGGGACAATGGGGACCAGCAACTGTTTGGTTACCGTCATTCTTCAAAATATCTTCTTTTTTGTTCAGCACTAGAAAGAAATTAATGCAGGTTTGGGACAACATGAGAGTGAGTAAATAATGACAGAATTTTAAAACTTTAAAGGGGTCATATGATGCGATTTCAATTTTTCCTTTCTCTTTGGAGTGTTACAAGCTCTTGGTGCGTAAAGAAGATCTGTAAAGTTGCAAACACTAAAGTCTCAAAACCAAAGAGATATTCTTTATAAAAGTTAAGTCAACCACACCTACCTAAAACGGCTCGTTCTAACACGCCCCCACATACCTACGTCACGATCTGGGAAGATTTGCATAATGCCGCCCAAATGTTCACGCAAAGGCGGCGTAACTTTTATTCTCGCTGTAGTATTGTTGACGCTGCAGCCATGTCCTGAAGACGCTGTGTGCTTCGTTGTGAAAGTGAAACTACTTTGTTTGGTCTTCCAAAAGAGGACGATATCCGCTTCGTCATGCCTGGAGCTGATCTGTGCTGGTCGCTGAGGGAATATATCAACTTTCACCGTGGACAAAGCGGAGTCCAGCCCGCCTCAGCTCACTCTATCCCAGCGCACGCTAAGCTGGGGCTTCCCCTCACGCTAGGCCGCTGTGTTTTTCGTTGCCACTGATGATTCAAACGCGAGTTTTGGACAGTAGAGTAGCACTTATTGTTTGTCATTTCTGCAATCACAAATGCAGACAGAGTTTTATGTTTACGCGGCGCGATGCAACGCAACGCGTAAAAAGACAGTATAAGTCATTATAATCAGTAATTATGTCCCCAATGCAGGTTTGCATTGGGGACATAATTACTTTTTTTTACCTCAATTACCTTTTTTTACCTCAAGCGTGTGACATTTCCGTCACATGCTTGAGGTATTTGGCCAAATCACAACGCATTGGATAGCTGGCTAATCACAGCACACCTCGATGAGCTTTGTAAAAATCGGCACGTTTCAAAAAGGCGGGGCATAGAGGAGAAACAATGTACAGTATGTGGAAAATAATGTGGTTTTTTTTTTTTTACTTTAAACCGCATAAACATTTCATTACACCAAATATGACCTCTTTAAGAGCTGCATGCATCTAACATTCAGGCATGCATCAGTTTCTCTCAACTGTTTGCTTTCACTTTAGACCTTGTGTGTTTTTGACAGTATTGGGAGGATTTCCAGTCAGGATTTAGACTATATCAAAGTACTGAGACTGATATTCCGAGATGGTCACTGCAGTCACCCGGATCCAGTACGTATCCAGCCCAGATGGTGGATCAGCACCTAGAGAGGACCTCTACAGCCCTGAAAGTCAGCAGAGACCAGGACAACTAGATGAGCCCAGAGACAGATCCCCAGTAAAGACTTTGTCTCAGACGGCCACCGGAACAATACCACAGGAACCAGATTAGTCCTCTGCACAATGTGACTTTGCTGCAGCCTGAAATTGAACTGCTGGTTTTGTCTGGCTAGAGGAGAACTGGCCCCCCGACTGAGCCTGGTTTCTCCCAAGGTTTTTTCTCCATTCTGTCACCGATGGAGTTTCAGTTCCTTGCCGCTGTCGCCTCTGGCTTGCTTAGTTGGGGACACTTCATTTCCAGCGATATCGTTGACTTGATTGCACAGAGACTATTTAAACTGAACTGAGCTGGATGATGACATCACTTAATTCAATGATGAACGGCCTTTAACTGAAAATTGAGTGTTTACTATTGTCACTTTGCATTATTGACACACTATCTGCCTAATTAATGCTGTACAGTTGCTTTGACAATCTGTATTGTTAATAAAAGTGACTTGACTTAGCGCACGCGCTCATTGTGCTTCCACACTGGCAGCGTTTGTCGCGCGCACACATGCATATAACATGCTGTATAGTGTAGTTTGCATGATAAAAGTAATCTTAACGTTAAGATATACATATAAACTATAGTTTTAATCATTTACACGAGCCTTTGAAATTTAGTCAAAAACTCCTGGCAAAGATGTCAGTGCAATGGTCAAACATTGTTGATATTGTGGCGGGCCGCTACAAATAAATCACTGACCACCACAAATAGATTTTCCAAAAGGCTTAGACTTCATTGAATAAACATGAGCTCTGCACGCTTTAAAGTCAAAATGCAGCACGGGTGTTTTTATATGAATGTATCTTTGAAGGGAACCGAATGTCTTCAGAAAAGTATCGATATCATTTTCATTTCATCTTTCCTATAATGCCTGATAAAGTAGTGTTCATGAGCACAGCGCTGTTTTGATTACAGCCGTTACCAGGGAAACCGCTATTTCTGCTGCTCCTAAAGCGCCTCCTGCTGGCAGAGGGTGAATTTGCATTTTCAATCAGCCCGTCTGCTGTTTTATATTTACATTATATACATGTATATTTCCCCCGGGGGAAGTGCCGCCACACATAGAGTGTAAGTCTGTGGGAAACACGGAACTGTCGCGCCACCTCTGCATGCGGTTTGAATACTGTAACCTGGGCGCCGAAAAAAATAAAATGCTCTGCTTATGTCCTGCTTATGCGTGCAGTGTGAAACCGGCCTTATATTTTATTTATATATATACACACATACACATACACATACACCGTGCCTTGCGAAAATATTCATACCCCTTCATTTTTTTAAGTTGCTGCCTTATGCTAAACTTAAACTAAACTGTTTTAAATTACTTTTTCCCCCACATCAATCTACACTCCATACACCATAATGGTAAAGCAAAAAACTGGTTTTTAACATCTTTGCAAATGTATTAAAAATAAAAAACTTAAATGATTCCATTGCATAAGTATTCATACCCTTATCTGGGAGAGTTGAAATTTAGTTCAGGAGCATTCAAATTGCTTGTTGATGTTACTACATTTTGAGTGAAGTTAACCTGTGGCAAATTCAATTGAATGGGTATGATTTGGAA